CCTCCCAGACCCACGCACCCTAAACCATCCCGAGCACCCAAAACCATCCCAAACCCGAGCGATGCTCGGCCCGACGCCGCCGGGCGCGGGGCCGAGCGGGGTTTGGAGCTTCCCCATGGCCCCCGCGGCTCTCCCGGCACCGGAGCCGGTTCCCCCTCCCCGCCCCGGCCCGGTCATCCCTCGGTGCCCCGGGCAGGCCCCGCCTTGTGGCGCCGGTGCCGGTGCCGCAGCCGCCCCGGGGAGAGCGAACAAAGGCCGGGGCGCGGCGCGGCCCGGCACAGACATCACGTCATCGGCCCGGTCTGCACCTGCCACCGGCCCCCGCTCCGACACCGAGCGCCGGCACCGGCCCCGCTGCCGCGGCCGAGCGCTGGCACCGCCCCAGCAGCGGGCGGCGAGCGGCGGCGGCCGCGGGGGGAGCGGCATCGCCCGGCCCGCGGGGGCGGAGGGGCCGCGGGATGCTGCGGGAGCGGGGCCCGGGGGATGCTGAGGGGCCCGGGGGATGCTGAGGGGCCGCGGCTGTCGGGTGCGGAGGCCCCGGGCCGGCGGGAACGGGCCGAAGGCGCCGCGCACGGCCCGGCCCCGGGGGCTCCTCTCGGGGTGCTCCGCCGGGGCGGACGAGCCGCAGCCGGGGCCGCCGCGGCCCGGCCGCACTCACCGAAGCCGGGGTGGACACTGGTGATCTCGGCCATGGCCCCGCCGAGGCCGGGGCCGCGGGGGTGCGGGGCCCGGTGCGGAGGATGCTCTCGCGGCCGGGATGCAGGAGCTGCCGACTGGTCCCGCTGCGGCGCTCGCCCCGCCCGGCCCCGCCCCGCCCGCGGCGGCCCCGCCCGGCGGTGACTCGGCAACTGTCGGGGCTCCGGGCACGGAGCCGCGGGGCGTGTGCCCGCTGTGCCTCAGCCCCGCTCCCACCGGGAGGCGACGGCACCGGGAGCGCGGGCGGCAGCGCCGGGCGGACCCGCTCAGCCCCACGGGGACACCCCCGGCGGCACAGGCGGGCGGGCAGCGGGCGCGGCGCCGCCGCCGGGGTTTGTGTGTGCGCGTCTCTGTGTGTGTGAGGGCTCGGAGCGCGCCCCGCCGGTGGCACCCAGCCAAGATGGCGGTGGCCGCGCTCGGTGCCCCCCCCCCCCCCCCCCCCCCCCCCCCCCCGGCCCCGCCTCACCGGGGCCCCGCCGGGAGCGGCCCCGATTGCGCATGCGCAGAGCGAGCCCCGGGCACTTCCGCTTCCTGCGCGGGGAGCGGGACCGGGCGGCCCGAGCGGGGCCCGGAGCGGCCCCGGAGCGGCCCCGCGGCCGCCATGGCGCTGGCGCTGAAGATGCTGCCCTGCAAAAAGCGCAGAGCGGCGGCGGCGGCGGGGCCGCCCAGCCCCAGGGAGCGCGGGGAGGACGCGGAGCTGCCCGGAGGCTCCGCCGTGACCGGCGCTGGCGATGGCGGCGGCTCCGTCAGGCCCGCGGGGAAAGGGCCGGGGGAGGCCTCGCCGAAGGGAGCGAGGAAACCCCCCGGGAGAGCGGCCCCGAGTGCAGGGCAGGAGCTCCCCGCGGGCCCCGGCAGCCCGGCGGCGGAAGGTACCGAGAGGGGCGGCGGCTTTAGGCCCGGCGATTTTGTGGTGTTTGTTTGGTTTGGTTTTTTTTTTTTTTATTTTTCCTAGGAAGCGTTATAGATTAGAATGAAAATGAGCTCAAACTTGGAGGTGCCCAAGCCAGGTTGGACAGGGCTTGGAGCAGCCCGGGACAGTGGAAGGTGTCCCTGCCATGGCGGGGGTGGCACCGGATGGGATTTAAGGTCCCGTCCAACCCAAACCATTCTGTGCTTGTGTGGGAAAGGCACAGTCCGGCCTTGTTTTTGCCCCGTGAGGCCAGAGATGATGTGCTGAGGCTGGAGAGGAGCCCCAGCTCCCTCAGGCCTGGCTGTCCCTGAGTGCAGCGAGGGGCAGAGCAGGGCCCAGGCTCTGCTCCAGGCCCAGCAATGGCCCCAGAGCCACGGGCAGGGACTGAGCCCAGCAATTGTCCCTGCACAGGAGGCACAACTCGTGCCCTGGGCAGAGCCCAGAGAGGCTGTGGAGCCTCGTCCCTGGGGATATCCCACACCCAGCTGGCCACAACCCTGTGCCCTGGGACTGTCCTGAGCAGGGAGGTGGCCCCAGATGTGACCCCTCAGACTCGATGGATTCTGTCATTCTCAGAATTGTTGTCTCTGGTTCTCGTGCTGCCGTGATGAGCTCCTTGATTTGACTGAAAACTGAGTATGTGTCAAAGAAGGAGGTGGAATGGGACAATTCCCAGTGGTTTTCTAGGCTTTGGTACCTGTGGGCCTCTTTTTCTCCTAAATATGTGCAATGTTTGCTGGAATGCAGTAGCAAAATGTTTTAAAGATTGGATATTATTCTATACTTTCTACAGAGATTTACACCCTTGTTTTGGGAGCCTGTGAGTGCTTAAAGATTGAAGTTTAATCAAGATTTAGGTTTTGTGTTGCAGCTTCACAGCAGCATTTCTCCTATGACTGGGATCTCCCAGAACAGGAGAAGAAGGGTTTGAAGGGTTTGTAGCCACCCCTGCAGCCATGTGGGCTCATTGGCCATGAAAATCCATCCCAAGGGTGCAGCCAGCTGTGCTGTTCCAGCTGGGAATGACCCCCTGGCTGTGCCTGTCCCTTCTGTGAGAGCTGAATTTGTACAACAGGGACTTCAACCGTGTTTTGAACGAATCACCAGGTTCTGGCAGTTGGCTTTTGTGGCAGGGTGGGTTTGAGCATGGCTGATAGTGAGGCTGGAATGGGATCTCTGTGCCTGCCTCTGTTTCCAGCAGGATGGGGCTGCTGCTGCCCTGTGCAGCTGCATCACGAGTTACACTTGTGCAGTTGGTTTGGTGTGTTTGAATGGGAAATTCAATGGAAAATTAATGGAAAATTAATTAGTTAGGGTTAGGTGTAGCCCACACTTTGGTGTGTTATCTTTGCCCTGTGTGTCCCTGGGATGTTTCTGCTTACAGCTGGGTGTTGTGTTTGCAGGGAAAATCCCTAAGCTGTACACAGAGGTGGAAGTGAGTTCTCAGAGGGATCCTTGTCCCAGTGAAACCCCTGGTGCAGTGCCAGAATCTCCAGGGAGAAGCTCCCTGCAGGTGGCTGCCAGAAATCCCAGCACCGTGAAGCCACTGAAGAACAGCAGAGCTGGTGAGTGGTCCCAGCAGAGTGAGGAGGAAAATTTGGGTTTGGGGCTCTTTATTCCACTGGATAAATATGACTGATCCAGCAAACTGTGGAATTGTCAAGATGATGAGGGCTGTGTAGGTGCAGGGTTGTTTTTTTTTTGTTTTAAGGTTTTAATCTCTTGCACCATAATTCAGTGAAGTGCAGGTGTTCCAGTGGAACTTGCTGGAGTTGATCTCTGCAATTTCTGGCTACCAAAAATCACTGCTCTGCTTCAGAGAAAATGATGATTCTTTCCTTTCTCTGAGTCAGCAAAGCAGGAAAATGCTTTTTAAGTCCTGGAAACTGCATCCTGTTCTTGCTGTGGTGGTACCTGGAGTTTTGCAACGTTGTTAAAGGTGTAAAAAGGCTGCTGAGGCCATTCCATAAAAATCATTCTGGAGGAGGTGGCAACTGCATGAGGAACTCCTGTCCTGCACAACTTAAATCCATCATTCAGAAGACTTTGTGGCTCTCATGGCTGTTTCTGTTTGGGTGGTCTCACATCAGCAGGTGGAAGTTTTGCTGTTTCAGCAGCTGCAGGATTGCAGTTTGTGTTTATTTTCAAACTCCTCCTCCCACAGCGGGCAAAGCAGCCGAGGTTTTAGATTCCATTTGTGCTGATTTTCAGAGGAGCAGGACGGGGAGGATGTGGAGAGGAGGAAGAGGAGGAGGAAGGCGAGCAAAAGGAAAAGAGAAGGGAAGAGCCCAGAAGAGGAGAGCTCCTTGTCCTGTGACATCAAACTGGACGAGTCCCTGGATCGCACCCTGGAGGATGGAGCCAAGCAGCACAACCTGACCGTGGTGAACGTCAGGAACATCCTGCACGTGAGTGTGGGGCCCTGGGGAAGTGCTGCTGCCTCTTGGATTCCCGATTCTTGGCCAGCACCCACCCCCTGATGTCTGCTAAGAAACCTGTGAATAAATCTGTGAGGATGGGATCATGTGGTGCCACTCACCTGGAGCCTGCTTTGTTCCCAATCCCCCTGAGTTTACAGTGGCACCTGTTCTGCTTTTCCTGAGCAGCAACAGCAGCAGGGATAATTAATTAAATTATTACTAATTAAATGATCTTTCTGGGCCCACGTGGGCAGGTGTGAACTCTGTTTCCTTTTTTGAATGAGCTGTTTCATCATAAAATTCTGATGGAATTCTGGTGGTGCTGACAGAAATGCATCACTTTTAGTTCGGTTCCATCACACAGCTCTCAGTTAGAGAGGAGCTGCCAGAAGAATATTTGTGCTGTCACAGCTTTGGAGTGAATCTTTAACCCTGCACCTCTGTTGAGTCTTTCCAGTTCATCTCTGGAGAGCAATAGTATTTATTTTCCCACAGGATCAAAAATCCTACCTTTTGTTTTCCCTGCAGCCAGAATTGTTCAAATCCAAGTAATCTCAGATATTTTCCCTTTTTGCCATCCCTGTGCCAAACAGCCTGGGGACTGCCATGTTTTTTTCAGGCAGATTCACCAGTGGATTCTGTGCAAGTGCCCCAGATTTATGTTTTTCTCTATCATGTGCTGCTCTGGGAGGGCTGGAGGTTCCTCTCAGTCACCTGCCTTCCCTGGAGCATTCAGAAAATGCAGGCTGGGATTTTGTGTCTCTCCTGCCTTCCTCTGTTTCTCCTAAATACGTGCAGTGTTTGCTGGAATGCAGTAGCAAAATATTTTAAAGACTGGATATTATTCCATACTTTCTACAGAGATTTACACCCTTGTTTTGGGAGCCTGTGAGTGCTTAAAGATTGAAGTTTAATCAAGATTTAGGTTTTGTGTTGCAGCTTCACAGCAGCATTTCTCCTGTGATTGGGATCAGCACATTTTACTGATGACATGACATGACTGATTACTGATATCAGGGAAACTGCTATCAGTTTGTTTTGACTATTTTCTTTCTCTCTGCTGGGAATTGATTTTGGGGAGCATTCACAGAGAGTGCAAATATTTTAATCACTGCTGTGCTGCTTTAAATTTTACTGTCTGATCTCTGAACAATCAATTTTGCTACAGTGTAATTACAAATACTGAGTATTTCCCCATCCTATTTCCAGGTAGTTTATTCTAACACTTGTTATATTTCTGTTTAATAAACATCCTGCTTTTTTGTGGGTTTCTTTAGGAAGTGATCACAAATGAACACGTGGTGGCCATGATGAAAGCAGCCATCAGTGAGACAGAAGATATTCCTTTGTTTGTAAGTAAAAAGCTTGCTCAGTTTGTTTTTATCAGTTGTTCCAAATGCACAAAGCCTTCCCCACTCTGCCTTCCTGGGCCATAATGGGATGTGGGGAGAAGAGGCAGAACAAATAAATAATTTACCTGTTACAATAATTAGGTTTCATTGTCAGATTTGTCACCTGGATGAAGTGAGTAGTGTCTGAGTGTAAATTATGAAACAGAAATATAAGGAGATATTTTTGAGGTCACTGTGGTGATGTTTAAAAGGTAATTCATTTAAAGGTAATTTTTTAAAAGAGAAAAGCTTCATAGTAAAAAGTTGCTGGGGAAAAGTTTGTCATTAAGGAAAGGACTGAATTTGTTGCTGTTTCTTGTTTTAAACTCTCAGGAACCCAAAATGACTCGTTCCAAGCTGAAGGAAGTTGTGGAGAAAGGAGGGGTAAGTAAATATCTGCTTTTCCTGTTGTCCAAGGGGCTGCTCCAACCTCTGCTCTTTGTGACAGTGACAGCACCCCAGGGAATGGCTGGAGCTGTGCCAGGGGAGGTTTGTGTTGGATATCAGGGAAAGGTTTTTCCCCCAGAGGGAATGGGCACAGCCCTGAGGCTGCCAGAGCTCCAGGAGCCTTTGGACAGCACTGCCAGCACAGGGTGGGGTTATTGGGGTGTCTGTGCAGGGCCAGGGCTTGGATTCATGATCCTGGTGGGTCCCTTCCAACTCAGCCTGTCCTGTTATTCTGTGAGTGGCTTTGGTTGTGTGACCCTCTAAGAGAAGTGTAAGCATGGTTTGAGTCTTGAAATGAAAAGAATCCTTTAAAAAGAATAAAAAAGGATTTATTTGAGCTGAGCAGCACACAGCCAGGTCAGGTCAGGTTGGGAAGGGCAGTGAATTCCCAGTGTCCATTGTCCTGAAGTTGCTTCCTGGAGATGCCATGGCAGG